AATAATGATAATAATTAAATGAAGTGCACAAAAAAAATACAGTGAACAAGGCATTTCAAAATTACAATTCTAACACTCGCGTGATTTTGTCACTATAGACAAAGAAGGAAAAAAACTGGTGTTATACTGCCAATAAACACCAGTTAGGGACTACTTGTATATGCGCTGTTATGTTTTCACCCTCGATTGTATAGTTTACAAAGCATTTTAAAGCAACAAGTAAAAGCATTTTTATTTAGGAAATAGATATCAATTCTGAGTGCATTGTTGTAGAATAATGCACGGTTTGAGTTCAAATGCGTAGTAATATAATCACGAAGGCCGATTTGCTATGATGTCAGCTGACATTTTTAGGTATTTAGGTCCGTCCAGACCTGTAGACTTGCTTTCGTCAAGATTTAGTAACTCTTTTTTGAACAAACTCTTTCGTTAGAAGTGGTATTTCAAATTTAGAAGAAAAGTTTGAATTTTCTTGGCTGTCATTCTAAATTTCTGGGAGTGTGAGTTGCGTACACTGAAATATGTTAATAAAATAGTCATTAAAAGTATTAGCTGTTTGGACTGGATCTGAAATAGGGTTGCCCTGATCGTCATTGATGAAATTAGTTGGATGTATTACAGATGTACCTGATAAATCTTTAAGATTTTTCCACAGGGTTTTAGGATCATTTTTAGCTCGACTTTTCTATGAAAAGGGGAGCTATCCTACTCGCCCCGGCGTCGGCGTCGGCGTTGGCGTCACACCTTGGTTAAGTTTTTCGTACCACCCCACTTTATTTCAGAAGTATTACAAGTATGGCTTTGAAACTTACCATACTTGTTCACCATCATAACCTCCATCTACAGACAAGAGTACATAACTCTGTCAAGGTTTTTGACAGAATTATGGCCCTTTTTTGACTTAGAAAGTGTATTGAGCTTGGTTAAGTTTTTTGTACCACCTCACTTTATTTCAAAACCATTGGAGGTATTGCTTTGAAACTGACCATACTTGTTTACCATCACGACCTTCATCAACAGACAAGAGGACATAACTCTGTCAAGGCTTTTGACAGAATTATGCCCCTTTTTGACTTAGAAAATACATTGAATATGGGTAAAATCCACTTATTGCCTTAACCCTTTGAGATATTGCTTTGAAACTTTTAATGCTATTTCACATCATTACCCCCATCTGTACGCAAGAGAAGGTAACTCTGTCAAGGATTTGTTTTAAAAATTAAGGCCTTTTATCGACTTAGAATCTTGGTTAAGTTTTTAGTACCAGTCCACTTTTTGACTGAACTGTTTGAGATATTAATTTGAAAGTTGGAATACTTGTTTACAATCATGATTCCCAAACATGTCCAGGAGAAGGTAATTCTGTCAAAGATTTTATTTGAATATATATTATGCTGATTGTACAAAAATATACTGCTTCCTTGGCATAGATTTCTTGAAAAATTATGTTATTATGTCATTTACCAAGGTGTTCTGAGTGACGTAAAAATACCTTATTCTCTCAAAGTGGGTTTAATACTATTAAATTTATTTAAGGCTCAACTCAGTTTTTTTTTCTTTCTTACCAGCCCTCTTTTGACTTAAACATTTCAAACTTTGCTGCAGTGTTCAAGGGTATCACACAATTCAGTAAAATAATTCTTCACTAAATATCTTAATGCTCATGGCCATTGTTCACTTTAAAAATACAGAGATTCTTGTATTGCCTTTTACTGCAAAAACTTTTTTTATTGGCAAGCAATAAAAAAGTCGAGCGCGCTGTCTTACGGACAGCTCTTGTTCCTATTGTTATTTATTTTTTCTGTAAAAAAAGTTTTTTTTGATGTTTTGATAAGTGTCTTTACTTTATTTCTCCAGATCTTGTACTGTTCAAAGTTACCTTTACTTTTAAAATAATCTCTTTGATTTATTGCATATTTTATATCTGTAGTTAACCAGTTTGGCATTTCAAATACTACAAACTAACAGAAAGTTTTTTTTTCTATTATTTCTTTTCACTGGCATTTGAAAACTGTGTTTATAGTTAAAGTAAGCCAATAACACTTGGAAAAAGTTATTTATTTCACATTGTATTTTCTTTGTATCGTTACTTAACACAGCAAATAAACAATATTATCATAACAAACAAATTGGTAACAACACCTCTAATTTTGTATCAATTAACCTTAATTGCCTTTATCACAATCACAAGGTGTTGAAAACATGTGACGCCAACTGTCACTAATTTAGAACATGTTAACCCACAACTTTTGTTGTCTTATTGTGTTCTACCGAGATGTGATTTTCATTATATTTCTGCAGAAGTGACCAGCGATCAGGTTCGAGTGTTCCAGCAATCTGTGTTCTAGTGATCCAAGGTACAACAATATATATAACATAGGAAGTTGGCAAAGACTGGGCAATAAGGTCGAGCCAAGGGAGGTATTCAAGCTATCCAAGGACAAGCTAACAAAGTTCAACTGTAAATATGTAATTTAGGTAATTTGCAAAAATGTTATACTATGTTGTAAATCTTCATGATAGTGTTTAAGTTACAATATATAATTTCAAGGAAGTGAATACAGTTTTCATGTTTTGAGAAAGATTTACATAGCTTTTCATAACTGAAATAAATTTATCAGTATAAGAGTAGGTTCATAACTTAAGCAAAAGCTGTTTATTTACAGTAAATTTCTGTAAGATACTATTGCTATCATTTAAAGGAACTCCACTTAGGTTTATAAGCTTAAAACATAAAAAAAATTCACATAGATATTAACATGAGCACTTGAAACAGAAATATTAATAAAATATAACCAAGAAATACACAAGAAATACATTGAAAATCATGTTTGTGCTAATTCTCAGTTCAATTCGAATTTTGGGTCATTTTTCACTATTATAATAATTATTCTAGAAAAACGGAGCAAGCTAAAGCTCTGAAATTTCGCACACAAGTTATTAGTTTAGATCTACATCAAATGGAGTATTAATCTCAAAAAAATATTTCCAGTCCCATCATGTCAAAAAACCTCAGTGGAGTCCCTTTAATAAGTAAGTCATATATTATATGTTTTTCCTAGTAGCAGCTGTAATTAAGAAGCATTACTTAATTTATAATGGAAAGTTCAGTGCTGCTTACCTGCAACAAAGTGACATGGTGAGCTTTTGTGATCGCTTTTCGTCCGGCGTCCTTGCTCCGTCCGGTGTCCGTCCGTAAACTTTTACTTTAAACAACATCTCCTCATAAACTGCTCTACTAATTTTATCCAAACTTCACAAGAATGTACCTTGGGTAGTGAACTTTAAAATCTTTTCAAAGAATTTAGTTCCATGCAGAACTCTGGTTGCCATGGCAACCGAAAGAAAAAACTTAAAAATCTTCTTTAAAAAAACAGAAAGAGCTAGAGCTGAAATATTTGGCATGAAACATCATCTAGTTAAAGTCTACCAAGTTTGTTCAAATAAAAGCCCTGAGGTCAAAATTGGCCCCGTCCCAGGGGCGTCATTGTTTTTCCCTTTATGTATATAGTAAAAACTTAAAAGTCTTCTTTGAAAAATCCCAAAGAGCTAGAGCTAAGATATTTAGCATGAAACATCTTCTAATTGGTGTCTATCAAGTTTGTTCAATCCAATTTCAAATAAGGGCCCTGGGGTTAAAATTGGCCCGTCCCAGGGGTCATTGATTTTCCTTATGTGTATAGTTTTGCAAATGACTATGAAAAAATCTCCATTAAAGGAATATTCAGGCAAAATAAAGACAAAAATATTAAAATGATCTTATGTACTCAAATCACACTAAAATGACTTTTCTTGAAGTTTCTATATATGTGTATATTGAAAAACTTTGTGGAAAATGAGATTTTGACCTTAATTAAGATATATTCTGTATGTTACATGTATCTTTATCATTTTGACTTTTTACAATAGTTTGTCTGTAATGATAATGTTCTTTCAATAATAATTCTGTATGACTCTTGTTTATTAATTGAAACGTTGAAGTGATAGATATATTGTTGCAAAATTGAAATAAACTTAATAATAAATATGTGAATATAAATGTGCTCACTCAACACTGTTAATGAAAATTGATTATTATCTGGGGACAATGCTTTTTCTTAAATGGTCAGATTGGTTTAAAATGATTATTACATTAGACAGGCCACGTTACCAAGTATCAAGTGAGTTGCTATGGAAAAGAATATTTATAACATACTGGAATATTTCAGTTATTTCATGAAGGAAAGCTGACTGGTACCAAAATTGCCCATTTGAAAGCAAAGTACACAGAGTTTTTACATGAAATACTTAAAAAGTAAGTAAGTAACTAAATTAATTTGTCACACTTTTGCTGTTTCTGAACATGCATTTTAGCAGATAATCTACAATGTACAAATTGTAAATTATTTTTTCCATAAACAAACAGCTATTAATATGTAACATGTTTTATTTTAACCATCTATACAGAAAAATTGCATTAATTGTTTTGTTACCTTAATTTGAAAAAAATGTTTACCCAGAGATTGACTGTAAGATATGAAATTATCATCCGTTAAATCCATTTCAATATTACATTTTTGAATTTCTTCTTCATATAAACAATGAAATGAATTAAATTTCAGCAATATTGATACTGAATTTATCTTTTAACTGAATTTGATATGGTTTTCAAAGAATTAATGTTTAATGTATAATACTGATTTCGATGCCTTATTTTTTCAGTACCAGGGAGAATGAGACTTGTTTGTTGTCTCAGACAAAAGAATGCTCTGCTGAACTTGATCGTCAATGTATAGAGTTAGAGAAAGCTGATAATTTTACCAATGGTTCAAACACAGAGGTTTCAAAGATGAGACAACAACTGTTAAAGTATAACAATGACTTGAAACAAGCACAAGAAAGGCAGTACGAGCTAGAATATCAAATAGACAATAGGTAACTGTTCTTTCTCTTTGATGTCATTTATTCTGTAATGCTTTTATGTGGCTGTTTTCTTTTGTTTGGCTAAAAAGAACAATAGAGAGAACAAGAGAGTAGCCACATTATTACTCTACTGTTAGAATGTCCATCCGTCCGGTAGCAATTCGGTTTCCGGAGCATAACTTAAGTTCCATTTGGCCCAAAATATTCAAACTACATAAGATGATTATCCATATTGAGTTGAAGACCCATATTGATTTTTGGGTCACAAGGTCAAAGGTCAAGGTTACTTTACATTATTACCTTAAATCTGAAAACAGTTTCCGTTCCATTTGGCCAACAGTGTTAAAACTTCATGGGATGATTGTGCATATCGGGTAGAAGACCCCTATTGATTTTGGGATCACAAGATCAAAGGTCAAGTTTACTATTACCTTTAAACTGAAAAACAGTTTCCAGAGCATAACTTAAGTTCCATTTGGCCCACAATATTCAAACTTCCTTGGAGGATTGTTATTTGAAGGAGGTAATACTTTATTTAATTCCAGTGTCTTACAAATGCTTCATCCTTACTAAAAAAAGAAAATCACTTCCGGGCATATAATGCTCCGCCTAACGGTGCTCTTGTTTTCTTTGTGTTATTGTCTTTTTTTTAACATTTATTTGTTAGCATCCATAATCATTTCTAATTTTCTCTCACATGTATTTGTAATTCTTTATTGTTGTTTTGTTATTTTGACTCCTTTAAAATGTAATAATTTTGATATATTATAACTCTACAGAGGAGAAGAAATTAATGGAAAGATAGTACTCTAGAATGCCAAAAGCTGGTAAGACGTTTAATCATTGGCTCCAAGCAAATACTCATTTGATATGTGACAATATGAAGTAATGCAATTTTACAACACATTTGTATTGTTTTCAGGAATTCTGCCTGTGCAAATGTGTCTTAAAGCAAAATTATTTGATAATATATTTGAAATAGTTATATTTATTTTTAGCTTGTCTATTGACTTAACTTGAGCAATTGTGCTCACCCAGGTGCCGGCATCTATCTTGGTGTGGCTGTCACACTTGGGTTAAATTGTAATGTGCATGTTGGTATCTTCAAAACATTTGAAGGGTTGTTGTTTTTGTAATAAAATTCCATCTAAGTAATTATATACTATTAAATAGTATTCCAAATTGAAATTTAAAGAAGACTGGTCCATTGTATAAATTTAGCAGTTTGTACTTTTGTAATTTTTTAGTAATATAATGTTTGTGGTATTTCAGGAAATCAAGAAGGAAATCAAAGAGTTACAACAAGCATGTGATGATATCAAGAAAGAAATTATTCAGAGACAGCTAGAGGTTAAAACATTAAAGAAGATTTAAATACATTTAATAGACAGACAAGTCAGCATTGATAGTAAAGAATAGTAAAAACTCACTGAAAAAATGGAAAATCTTCAGGTTAGCCTTACCATTCTTGTACAATACACTAACGGTGAAAATTGTAGATGTATAATTTTTTAATCTGTAACAGAAGTATTTGATTTTCTTAAGTAAAGAGGCTTTTATTTTTAGCTCGAATATACGAAGTATATGGAAAGCTGTTCTACTCGCCCCGGCGTCGGCGGTGGTGTTGGCGTCCGCGTCCAGATTTCAGATAAAAGTTTTGTGCAGTAAAATATTTTTCACTATAACTTTGTCATTTCTTAAGGTATCAACTTCAATTATATGTTCCTTATCATCAACCACATCTTATGTGATAAGGTTCATAACTCTAGAACCAATATTTTCAGATTTATCTCCCCTCAAACTTAGAATTTTCCTTAAAAAATACTATTTTTTACTGTTACTTCATTATTTCTTAAGGAATAAACTTCATACTTCAAATATATGTACCTTATCATCACCCCCATCTTATGTGACAAGGTTCATAACTCTAGAACCAATATTTTCAGATTTATCTCCCCTTGAACTTAGATTTTTCCTTAAAAAATATTATTTTTTACTGTTACTTCTATATTTCTTAAGGGATAAACTTCATACTTCAAATATATGTACCTTATCATTAACCACATGTTATGTGACAAGGTTCATAACTCTAGCACCAATATTGCAAGAATAATACCCCCATAAACTTAGACTTTTTTACTAGAAAAATGTTATTTTTTTCTATAACTTCTTTAGTTTTGAATGAAAGGTATCTACCTCAAACTTCAATTACATATTCCTTATCATCAATTACATCTTATGTGATAAGGATCATAAATCTTCAAGCAATATTTTCAGATTTATCTCCACTTGTACTTTGGATTTTTTTTAAAGAAATATTATAACTTCTTTACTTTTTAAGGTATCTATTTTTAACTTCAAATATATATTTCTTATCATCACACACATGTTGTGTGACAAGGTTCATAACTCTATTTCCATAATTATTCCCCCTTGAACTTGGAATTTATGTTAACAAATGTTATTTTTTTACTAAAACTTAATACATAATTATACATAATTGATTTTTTTCATAGTCTTCCTTACTGCATCCAGTATTATATTAGTTGAGCTTCGCTGTCTCCTGTGACAGCTCTTGTTATAATATAATGTTATCTATTTGTTGGACAGGCTCAGATTTGCCCCTGCTGGATGAAGATAATGCTATATTGAGGTATGGGCATCAGTTTGTAGATTATCTTGGTAGAGGACTGGCAGATAATTGAAGCCAGGTATGCTATGTATATATGCAAATTGCATCATACTTAAATTAAGTCTTTACAAATGATTTCATTACAAATGATGACCTTTGAAAGTGAGACGTGGAAGGAATAGCATCTGCTAAATTTTTGTTTTGACTCATTGCTAGAGCAAACAAGCATTTTGATTATGACCTATGCACAAAGATACGAGAATACATTTTGAAATTACATTTTCAAGTCTTTCGATTATAGAAAAAACTTGACATGCACATTTTTAGTCCCCTACCGGTTTACCGGAGGAGACTTTAGGTTTACCCTCCGTCCGTCTGTCCGTCCGTCCGTCCGTTGGTCCACAAAACTGGATCCCGCGATAACGCAAAAAGTACTGAAAATATTTTAATGAAACTTGATATATGGATAGATGGCGGTATGGAGATTATGCACGTCTTTTTCTTTTTTTCCTATGTTGAAAATTCTGGTTGCTATGGCAACAAATAGACTGAAAATATGGCAAATTTTACACATAATCTGGATCCCGCGATAACGCAAAAAGTACTGAAAATATTTTTATGAAACTTGAAATATGGATAGATGGCAGTATGGAGATTATGCACGTCTTTTTCTTTTCTTCCTATGTTGAAAATTCTGGTTGCTATGGCAACAAATAGACTGAAAACATGGCAAATTTTACACATAACCTGGATCCAGTGATAACACAAAAAGTACTGAAAATATGTTTATGAAACTTGACATATGGGTAGATGGCAGTATGGAAATTATGCACATCCTTTTCTTATCTTCCTATGTTGAAAATTCTGGTTGCTATGGCAACAAATAGACTGAATTTCAAGATTTCTGATTCTAGTTTTTAAGTTTTTTTCACTATAAGTTCTTTATTTCTTAAGGTATTTTCTTCAAACTTTAAATATAAGTTGCTTGTCATCAACCACATCATATGTGACAAGGTTTACAACTCTAGCACAAAATTTATCAGAATTACCTCCCTTGAACTTAAAATTTTTATGAAAAAAACATTGTTTTTTTTAATAACTTCCCTTTCTGAATGTATCTACTTCAAACTTCATATAAATGTTTCTTATTATCACTCAACATTTGTGAGTGTTCAATACTCTAGCAAGACTATTTCCAGAATTATGCCCCTTTTGAACTTAGACTTTTTTTTTTGAGAAATTGGTAATTTTTACTCCAACTTCTTCAATCATGATAGGATTTTAAAAATGTTATATTTTGATAACAGGGATGTTTAAAAAATAACTTTTGAGTGTCCTTCAGTCTGTCTGTCTGTCTGTACATAAAAACTGTTTCCTGTGATCACTTTTAAAGAACTTTTTCAACAAATTAGGAACCTAAGTGAATGGCCAATGGCCCTTCAAAATGTTGCTTGGGCTCTTACCGGTAGGGGACTTATGGATTGCTTGCAATACTATGATAATTGCTTGTTTTATATTGAAGCATCTTGTGCAGCATATAACATACATGTGCATAT